TCCCTCTCTCTCTCTCTCTCTCTCTCTCATTTCTCTTCCCTTCTTTCCCTTCTCTCAACCCCTGTTACTCCCTCTCCCTCCCTCTCCCCCATTCTCCTTCCTATCTCTCTTTTATACACTCACATACACAAACCCTTACAAGTGCAATCCCTTTGATATGATACATTTTTAAAATAATTTCAATTAAAATGTGTTCCATACATCTATGAATATATATAATATTTTACAAAAAAAAGTTTATTTACTGTTTTAGTTTTGATAATTATAATTTCAACAGGATCCTGTGTACAAATCTCCACAGTTTTTTTGGTCTTTTTTCCTGCTTGATCTCATCAAGCTGCTTTACTTAATCAATCCACATGAGCAACTGGAACCTTTTCAACACAATTTTTTTTATTATATGTGTGTTGTTGTTTTTTGCCTTCCATGACTGTGTTTTAGGTCCCTTGTTAGACAGAATAAGCCAAGCTGTACTGTGTCATGCCGTACTGTCTGTGACATTTGTCATGAGACAGTTTATACCAGTATATACCATCTCAGTTTGATGGTTTTTTGCGGTCTCCTGACTTGACAAACATGGTTTGGTACAGCTTGACTGGAAATGATCACTGTTCATTCCTGCATCCATCTCTGCTATGTACCTCCTGTTTAACAGTGAATCCAACCTTGTTATAATTATGGCTGTGGAAAAAGAGGTGGGAGAAGAAAAGAAATCAATCCAGAAGCACATGGATTCATCCTATTTTCTGATTAAATTATAGACATGAAGACAAGAATATTACTCTATTTTAAAAGATATTTAGACTGGTGACCAAATATTCTTAAATTACACAGGATTTATGCTCGCTTCAGTTGAAGAGATGCTTTTCCTTGCAGAGGATAGGATTTATCACCCTTTTTTAAACTGCCATGTTAGTGTCTCCATCATCAAGATCCTCAGAACAAAAACAATGTGACTTGAGTTTTACTATCACTCATTTTGACACTCTTTGTACTGATTAAAAAAGAACATGACAACATTTTGACCTGAGGTCGAAAGAGATAGAGATGAATGGTTGCAAAGGAGAACATGGTAGTAGAAATTGCACTAGTGGCAAGAAAAAGAATGATCGTTTCCGCTCAAACCGTGTTGACATTGTATGTTGCGTCATAAGACGTTGACTTACATCTCGCTTGCAAACCTTTCAACGTCTTCATAGCAAATTGCCCCCTGTGTAAAAACTGCCTCTATTTGTATTATATTATTACCATATTTCCGTCAAGTTGCCACAGTACTCTTTGACCTATCTTGTCTAATTCCCACTTAAGGTTTTAATACAGATACGATTCATGTACCTGAATGAAAAAACAGTATTATTTGTTATTAATATAATAAGTAATATTATACTTTTTTTCTTTTATTGTATTTTCGTTATTAAATGTTTGTCAAGAGTGTGTAGTTCTCAATAAATTCTTGTTTGTTTAAAAGGTGGATTTTTATTATAATTTTTGTTCTATGGGATGTACTGATTTGAGTGAAAGAGAAAAAGTTGTACTTAAACCAGACTTGTGGTGTTCACAAAGGAAAAAAGAAAGAAAAAAAGCAACCCAAAACCTTTGTTCATATCTACATGAGGAAATGCTGGTTACAATGGCGTGTTGAGTACAATGCACACTTGGAATATTCGGATTACAATGCGTCAAATAATACACTGTAGTTTTTTTTTTACCAATTATGTAATTCTGTGTGTCATGAACAGTTTCACTAGTGAGCAAAGGTTACTCAAGTTACTGTGCATGGGTGCGTGTGTGTATGTGTATTTTATGCAATAATTCTTAAGAGATAGATAATTTTCTTCTGATGTATAAACTTCTATTTTGATTTATACCGACAAGAACAACAAAATTACTTTTAGAAATCTTTTTAAAATGCAGCTATTTAAGAGCTGACATAGCAATCTCATGCCTCTTAAATGCTCAAACATCAGTCACGAGAATGCTCCGCAACCAAGTTTCCCCCAAAAACGTTTTGACATCATGACCAAGCCCATGGCCTAAAGTAGGGCCTTAGTGTTATTGTCAAGGAACACCGAGGTGGTGTTGTCAAATCTATGGATCGGCAAAACCCCATGTCATAAAAATTCTAGACCCAGTACAAAATCAAGGAGTCCACCTCGCCCTGGTGGCTTTCCGCACTTCTCCAGTGGAGAGCCTCCAGGCCGAGGTAAACATACCATCACTCACTCTCAGACGCACAGAACTCTCACTACAATACGAAATTAAATAAGCTGAACACCAGAGAACCCAGTACACGACTGCATTTTCAGAACAAACCCAGACACCATAAACAAATTCAAAAAGAACGAAAAACTCTTCAAACCTTTCGGCCTCAGAGCAAGAGTCCTTGAAGACCTCAAAAACATACACTTTTCCAAACAAGACATCCAATAATTTCTTTTCCCCGACCTCCCTCCGCGGCACCTCACCAAGGCAAACGTAGATTTACAGCTCACCACACACAACAAAGCAAGCACAAACAGCAAAACATTTAAAGCAAAATACTAAAAACTGAAAGGAAA